TTAAAATTCATCTTCAAGTGAAAATTGAAAATTTCATGGACGAACACTGGTTTCGAAAAAAAATGAGAATTTTTCTGAAAAAAGTAAAAGTTTTTTTATGTCCAAACGGGCATAGGCTTACTACATTAGATCACATTTCACCAAAGTAGAAAAAGCCACCAAAATACGTGTCTTAATATTGAAATAACGGCGAGCATACAAACTTTTAAATATAATTTCTGCCCCTTTTTGTTGAAGGAGTCAATAGTCTTATAAGTTGGTATAAGAATTAAAAATGTTGGTCTATTTTATAGGTGTTCGGTCTTGAACGCCGTCGGAAACACGGCTGTGGCCGGTGAAACTCAAAAATCATCAAATTTACAAATGATAATTGAAAAATAATCACAATTTCAAAAATAATAGAAATTTAGTCACTTTTCATATAAAGATAAATTTGAACGAAAATATTATTCAAAATCCGGAAAATATTCCAACATAATATATTGGAGTTCCGGGATAATATACTGATCCAGTATAATATGCTAGAAGTTCGTACACATGTGCTCCAATCTCCAGTATCTTAAGTTGGAACTTTCCGTGCGTTGGAGTTCCAGCATAATATGCTGGAAGTTCATACGCATGTGCATCAATCTCCAGTATATTGTGCTGGAACTTTCCGTATAGCAACAAAATAATAATTATTTTTTAATGACTTTGCAAATACTAGCTATTTTTTAGTTACTCATCCGAAAACTGCTAGCCCGTACTATTTCACGGATAGCGACGTAAAACTTTAATTTGTTGTTTAATTAAAAGTGTTGGGCGCTAAGCCCATATCGAATTGGTGTAACGTGACCAACGTCCTTCTAAAGTTATGTAATATATAGTATAATATGTAAAAATTACACAGGACGTCCTATTTGGTCGCCCCCATTTAACTTATACCTATTTTTAAAAAAATTTTTAACTTGTATCCATTTTTTAAACAACTTCAGGCCTCTTTTTCCTCCTCCTTCGTTTTCTTCTTCTTCTTCTTCTTCTTCTTCTTTGGGTGACAATGATTTTATATGGTGGTTGTGAACATATTTTAATGTAGTTTATGATGTTTTACAACAGAGCTGTTATGATGCTTTATTTATTACTATTGCTTAAGGTTTCTTCTTCTTCTTCTTCTTCTTCTTCTTCTTCTTTTTAATTGCAAAATGGGTTCATTAGATTTATTGTTATTTTGACAAATTGATGATTTGGTTTGTTCCTGATGATATTTGGAGGTTATGTTTCAAATTTGAGCTCGTTTGGAGTAGATTTAGGTATTAAAACGTATATTGGATTGATATAATTCGAAGAATAAATTTCTGTTTTTGGACAATTTGTACTTCAGGCCTAATTGGCCTTAAATGCATAAAAACATTGGTTGCACTTTAGACCTTTTGGCCTTAAGTGCATCTGAAGTGCAATTTTTCACTTCAAACTTATTGGCCTTAAGTGTAGCAAAACGTTTGTTGCACTTCAAACCTTTTCGCCTTAAGTGCATCTGAAGTGCAATTTTTCACTTCAAACTTATTGGCCTTAAGTGTAGCAAAACGTTTGTTGCACTTCAAACCTTTTCGCCTTAAGTGCATCTGAAGTGCAATTTTTCACTTCAGACTTATTGACCTTAAGTGTAGCAAAACGTTTGTTGCACTTTAGACCTTTTCGCCTTAAGTGCATATGAAGTGCAATTTTTCACTTCAGACTTATTGTCCTTAAGTGTAGCAAAACGTTTGTTGCACTTCAAACCTTTTCGCCTTAAGTGCATCTGAAGTGCAATTTTTCACTTCAGACTTATTGACCTTAAGTGTAGCAAAACGTTTGTTGCACTTTAGACCTTTTCGCCTTAAGTGCATATGAAGTGCAATTTTTCACTTCAGACTTATTGTCCTTAAGTGTGTTGCACTTCAAACCTTTTCGCCTTAAGTGCATCTGAAGTGCAATATGAAGTGCAATTTTTCACTTCAGACTTATTGGTCTTAAGTGCATCTGAAGTGTAATTTTTCACTTCAAACTTATTGGCCTTAAGTGAATGAAAATGTTTGTTGCACTTCAGACTTTTTGGCCTTAAGTGCATTTGAAGTGCAATTTTTCACTTCAGACTTATTGGTCTTAAGTGCATCTGAAGTGTAATTTTTTACTTCAGACTTATTAGCCTTAAGTGCATGAAACCATTGGGTGCACTTCAGACCTATTTGGCTTTAAATGCATTTGAAGTGCAATTTTTTCACTTCAGACTAATTTTTTTTAACTTCAAACCCGATAAGTCTGAAGTTGATCGTAAAGTGGGTACGATTGCAGACTTTTTTGCAAAGTGGGTATAGGTTTAATTGTGACCCCAAAACCGGGTATAGATGCAAAAGCCCCGCATAATATATGTCTCAAAACAGAAAGAGTAACAATTCTAAAGCATTGAGTGAATTTCATGGGCGGTTATTCAACTTTGTGTTTATTAGCCAAAAATCACTTTTCTTTCCTGTGTTACAAAAAATCACTCAACTTTGTGTTTATTACCCAAAAGTCACTTTTCTTTCTTTTGTAACACAAAAATCATTTTACTATGCTTTAATTATCACAATAATCATTTTAAAACAAATTTTACAAACCTTTCACCTGAAAAGTTTATTATGCCATTGACATTATAAATTCTCCCATTTATCTAATATATATTCATACATTTTAATTTTTCTTAATATTAATTTTCAAGATATATAAGTAGCATTATTAAATTTGTCAGTAACATTACCATGAATAAATCTCAAGTCCACGTTCTTAATCATGCTTAATGAAATATGTTTAATAAAAATTAAAAAACCAAAGCTCATTGATTTATCAGCCAAGCCATACCCATTAATTTAATAAATAAAATATCCACGTTTAGCAAAATGACACATCAGATTAATACTTTTAAATAAATAATATTAACAGATAAAGTTTTAAAAAACTTAATATTAAACACAAATATATTTGAAACTTTTTTTAAAATTTTTATTGACTATAAAAAACTATCATTTGTTAAACAAATCTATTTTTATTATTTTAAATAAATATTTTTATCATTTTTATATTTAAAATACGTTCATGTTTGAATATGATTAAAAAAAATTGAGTGCCATAAAAAAAATTAAATGTATGGATATATTATAAAAATAATAAATAAAATAATTTAAAGTTATTTTAATTATAAGTAAAATACCTAGATAAAAATATATTATATAGTATATAATATAGAAGTTATTACATAAATGAGAGGATTAATGTTAAGGACATAATAGACTTTTCAAGTAAAAGTATTATAAAATATGGCCAAGGTGACTTTTGTGATAAATAGAGCAAAGTAAAATAATTGTTGTGTAACAAAAGAAAAAAAATTGACTTTTGGGTAATGAACAAAGTTGAATAATTTTTACGTAACACAAAGAAGAAAAGTAATTTTTGCGTAATGAACGCTTCAATGAAATTTATTCTAAAGCATTTAGTTAAACATAAAAGGAATATATTGATGTTCTTGTCAAAATTTCTGCCCACTTATGAGTATGCTTTGAAAAGAAAAACGGCGGCACAAGTGTAAGATAACTAGATAAGCAATGAAGAAGATTTATTGAATTCGGATCTTCTTTGAACGAGGCATCAATTTTAATCATTTAACAAATTCATATTATCCTTTTTAGTTGTTGTGCGAGCATGACTGCATGAGTCACTAATTTCTTAGAATATGGTTCGCCAATTAATCCAATTTGGTCATCGCAATCAAATGTTACACTATAGGAAGAAGAAAAACTTGATTATACAGAAACTGAAAAAAATAGGAGCTTTATGTTCCAATGGTATGATTCAAAAATAATATCATATTCGTCATCGTTAAACATTAGCAAAATCAAGTAACGTATAAAAACAACGCACTTAGGATTAGGAAAGCACTCAAAAAATGAGAGTTGAGAGGCTGGGAGGGTGAGTGCCCACTTAATTCCTTAATTGAAAATTTAATGCAGTTAGGCTTTTGTGCCCACTAATTACCTCCTTAATTGAAAATTTAATGCAGTTAGGCTTTTGTCCCGCTCATAGCTTATTGAAAAAATTAGCTTATTTTGAGAAACGTTTTTTTCAAAAGTGCTTCTGAAAAAAGTATTTTTGGAGATAAGCAGTTTGTGTTTGACTAATCACTCTGAAAAACACTTTTGAGTAATAATTTGTGTTTGGCCAAACTTTTCAAAATGTATTTTTAAGTATCAAATTACAAATAAGGACATGAATAAATTTACTTAATAGTTAATATTATAAGTAAATAAATAATCTCAAAATTTGTTATTACATGCAATAATTAAATCTTTTCATTTTATTTAAGTAAAATATGAAAATAAAATTAAAAAGTATTTCAATTCTTTTAATATTATTCAAATATATTAAAAATCATTCAACAAATATAAAAGCATTCACTCTTAAAGTCACTATATATTAGAAAATATCCTAAAAATAAGAAGAAATACTTATACATTAATATCCTAAGTATTAGATTTAACGGTTATTTTGATATATACTATATTTTGTTAAGGGTACTTTTAATATTTTTTCTGCTTCTTCCCAATAGCACTTTTTCCCTCCAAAAAAATTTAGCCAAACACAAGTTAAGAAAAAAAAGTACTTTCGGGAAGGAAAAAAAAAAAAAAACTTTTGGCCTTTGGAGAACTTGGCCAAACAAGCTATCAATATAATAAGTAATGGATCCCCCACTTTGACACACTAGTGATTAATTTTTTCAGGTAACGCTTACTCTAAATTTTCTTTACATTTATTTTAGAATAAAGACAACACACACGTATGCCTCTCATTCGCTGCACAAGAAGCAGTCGGTCTAAGTTGACCACTTCATAGTAACGACGACCTACATAATCATATTCTTCCAGAAAGACAACTAACAAATTTCAAGGTATCATTTTTTTATTTTTAAAAAAAAAGATACACATTTTTGTGCATAATGGAGCTTATCGTGGTGGTGGTTGCAAATAAACATTTGGTATAACAAGATGATCTTTTCACATAAGAGCAAGCTAAGAAGTATACTTCTAAATTTCAACCTAGAAGCACAATGGAAGCATGAGAATCTTGAATTCATCGATAAAATGTACCTACCAAGATTGTGATAAACCTCAAGACCAAATAGGCAAATAAACAAACCTTATGACAGGTACAAGAAAAGATGCTTCAGCTGCTTAAGATAGAGTCACCATTTGTAATAGGTGCCTCACTCAACTGTTGCGCAGAACTTGAACCATCAACTTCAGTGAGACCACCTGATTCAGAGATTTTTGTAATCCTCTGCAAGTCATCTGATATTTCTGTGGAACGAGCCATCAACTCATCATCGGTCAGCTTTTCTTTCTGAAACAAAGTCTTTTTAGGTTGTCGGATGGCTGCAGCTGCTTCTGCCATTGCAACTGGAGGTGGCTGGGGAGGAACCCAGGATCGCTGAACTGGTCGTACCTCAGCTGCTGGAGCAGTAGATCCAAACCTCTGTTCGTTCACAGCTTCGATTTCTGTTATTCTGGCATTCTTGCGTTGCCACCAAGGCGTTGAACTGTCTCCATTCATCGGATTGTTTTGATATCCATAATTCAAGCCATCGCCACTCCCTTGAGATTGGAGAAGATTCTCTGAACTGTTTTGACTTTGGCCAATTTCCCAAGGCTGTTCACAATCAACATAGTAAGGTCTATCACAGATTAGGCAAGGGAAAATACATCTAATAGAAAGGTCTATCATGAAGAGATAAAACCATAATTTTGTTATCCAAATGAAAGTGACCGTTGTATAAAAATCTATACAATGACGGGCATACTCCATAAATATCAAATGCAGTGAATAATTAGATAATAACATCAGTTAAGGATCATTACTACTACAAAAAGGAAGTTTTCGAGTGGAAGATGGTGTCTTAAAGTTTATGTTGTCCAAATGCAGGCTGCACACTGACTATAGAAAATGGAACCAGCAGGTCAAAACAAATACACAGCAAAAAATTAGAATTCAAGGTTAGAGGTTCAGACAATGAATTTCTAAGTCTTATCCGCGAAAAAGGTAAATTGTATGAATCCCAATAATGTGGGTAAAAAATGGAAAGAAGAGACCTTAGGCTTTGGACCAACACGAGGTTCTGGTACAGGGTGGTTAGGATTTGGTGGCTGGTCATTTATATCCTGCAACAAAAGATGTATATAGGTAAGAGCACAAAAAGTTCAACAAAAACTTAAGGTTATGTCTATTGCAGAAATCAGAAGCCTGGACTCACTCGGATGTTCGACGGCTTTTCTCCTCTTTGAATCATAGCCATGATCTACAAAATGATTGTAAAGTTAGATTAACTGATTTCCCTAACTCTTCCCAGGGAGAATCTAACATAATTTTCTAGCATCTTAATTCAGAAGAAAGCCAAAACAAATTGAATGAGCTGAAAAGCCGTCAAGTTCATTTCTCCTTATTCAACTTTTCATCCCCTCCCTTGAAAGCATGGCCCTTGAAATCAAAAGGAGCACCCACCCCCTTCTTCCTTTCAATAGAGTTTCAAAGGGAGCCAGACAGAAATATATAAATGATAAATTGATCTAGAAACTCTACATGACAGCAAAAGGTAAGGTTGACAGGCTTTCAGATCAGTCATATTTGAACAGCAAAGTTGCATGCCTACCTTGGTTAAAACGGAAAGATAGATGAGGAACTAGAGCAGAGACAATTTACTAGTTTGGAAAATCAGTAACAACCCAGATGATGGAAGAACTTACATCCATATAAGATTTTGGGTGGGGTGCAACAGATGGTTCCACAGATGCAGGTGGTGACAAAGATCTCACTGCAAAAAAGACTCGAATCCCACAAAATGAGCATAAAAAGAACTAGTGATATGATAAGATCAATCAGCAGTTAGAAATAGATATTAGAACCTGAATGTGCATCAACATCCAGTTCTCCATTAGCATAGGATTGCTGTACCATCAAAGAATATCAGAAAGAAAAGTTTAAAAAGTCAATGAGATTAATAAAAAATAAGATGCAAGTTAAGTTGTAACTATATAGCTCACCCTAGAATGGGAAACCGAAATTCTTCGATCATCTTGTTCCCTGGCAGGTATTCTTCCAGAAGTACTACTTTTCCCTGAATGCATAGAAATTCCAATCAGGTACCTGGTGCTTGCTATGCATCATACCATCCCTTTATCTTTATTCTTTGAGGTGGTTGGAGGATGGGGAATTTGAATTCTAAACTACTCTACTCATGAAAAAATATTTCTCCTCTAAAGAACCTGACAATTATTTTAAGATTGCTTAAACTCCAAGGCAGACGAATCAAATCCAAATACACAAGTGAGTGACAATGGAGTGAAGAGCACAAAATCTGAACTGAAACTATTCCAGACTTGAATTCCGTGCTCCACTAGCCTACATCCACCCCTCGCCTACTTACACTCCACTTTTACACTATTTATTAGAAAACAAAAGAGTCAAGTACAAATATTTCTCAACCTTTTTATTTCAATAATATTATTATTTCAAAGAGAAGAATATGAAGTAAAAATAAGATTTTCTTTAGTGAAATTAAAAAAAGAAGATATAGCAGCATTAGCAAGTTGCAACACTAGGAACAAGTTATTTTATACAAATTTTAAAAGAATACAGAATGAAAATAGAATACAAGTCATGAATAAATGCACGCAAAAACCCATTTCTTTGTTCCAGTTTATCGGGATCTACAGGACCACGGTCACTGTGATAAAGCAAATCTAGAATTTTCCAAATTCATATGTCTAGTCTTTAACGCTTGAGGGTCAAAACTTTTACAGAAACTACTAAAGTGATATAAACCATTACCACAGCATAAGGAGCTGCATAGAAGCCCCTCAGAGTATAGGCACCATGGCAAGATCTATGTAGAGTGAAAAAGGAGACACATTTGAGACACTATAAAATATGTACTGACACAAGCAAGCAGAGACTTAAGTGTTTAATCACATATAAACACCAAGGCCTAAAGCCAAAAAGATCCAAAACAAAGTAGCCAAGCCTCAAAGGAAGATGGAATCAGCAAAAGTTCTACTCTCTCTCTCTCCCTCCCTTCCTTTATCTTTCAATTACAGGCACACCTACTACTCTTTAATCTCAGTAGGTGCAGCTAGAAGTCTACACGTCATATCCTCCTATTTTTTCCAAAACGCATCCCCTTTAACTTACATGAATGTTACTTCTAACAGCAATAAATGGTCAAAAAGGAAATATTTTATACCTTAACCATTTTTTTCCAAATAGTAACCGGAAAGGTAAAAGGGAGAAGAAAGAGACAAACGAGACAGAGTGGTAGCAAAAGCATGTTCTGGAAGCAACTCTGTGCTCACCTTCCAGCTTCTGTAAAGCACTACTCATTGATTTCATCTCTCGTACTTGGTAGTTTAACAGATTTGTTAGCTCCTCAAAGTACCTTTTCTCTGTGGAGGACAAGTTAAATCGCCAGGAAGATTATTCATCACAAAATAATAATGATTGGATAAGTTAGCATTTGGTTTGCACTAAAACGCAAGGAAGAGAAACTGTTTCAGCATTAACGACAGAGAACTTTATCAACAAACCTTCAGTTTTTGATGCCAGCATCTCCTGGCTTGCACGGGCCACATCAGCAGCTGCTGCTGCTGCTGCTTTTGCAGCAAGAGCCGCTTCTTCTGTTAAACTTGGTCTTCCCTTCACAGTGCCTTTTTCATCTTCTTCTTCCATTACAACCTTGCGAATCCAAGACTTAAACCGAGGTACAATAGTATGCTGCCAAAAGCACATTATCATTTTAAGTGGGGTGATAGTAATACTAGCAATATAATACATAGGCTAGAAGCATAATTTCCAAAGACTGATTCAGACCAAGAACTAAAATCCTCGTTCAATAACTTGAATGTTAGAATCTAATTGAATCATGGAACAGAAGAGTCAGATCAATTGATTTTCATTATTGGGTGGGTTAAGGTAATAGTCTACAAAATTGTCCTTCATATTACAGTATGGACTATTCTCAACTGACTTAAAACAGTGAAATATATCATCATGGTCATGCTCCATCCACCATGCAAAATGTTTCATATATCAGAAAAAAGTTTACCCTCGAGAGATACTCTTGATCAAATCAAATATCAACGTTTATATGAAATCCTTAGGCTTGCTTTAGGTTTCTCAATGACCTAAATGGTGAAATATATTTTCATGGTCACCATTCCATGATTTCCATCCCCACACAAAAGTCATTTGCCAGAGCAATATCACATTCAAGAGATACTTGAATAGTCGAATATACGCTTTTTATGGATTGCTAGGCTTGCTTTTGGTTTCTGTTCTGTAAGAGAAAACACTAGTTACTATGCTACAACAAGGTTTAACTACCAAAAGTAAAATTTTGAAAGAAAATGAAGAACTAAAGCAACAGAGAATAATCTTTTACGGTTTAAAACCTAATTCTATATATCCAATCAAGTAACTAAGTTTACCAAAAAGGAACTAAAGTACAAACCCTCACGAAATAAGTAACACTCAACTACTTGCTTAACAAAAAATCCGTATGTAAGTTACCCTCATGTAGAACAAGCTTTAAGGCTTCTCAAAAACCAACACTATACTATAGGAGGAAAAAGTAAAATCGAGAACCCTAAATGTCCTCATATTGCATTAGAAAGAAAAGCATTTAACGTTTCTACCAACTTATTGACGATACGATAAAATAATCTCATGGACTTGCACCTAGAGGTGCCAAAAACAAGAAAAATCAAAGAATTGAGTTTCTCTTTGAAAAGCAATAATTTTGCACATTGAAAAGGTCGCATGTCCGATACCAGTTTAAATTAAAAGGAAATAAATAAGAAGCTGCATTCATGTCCAAAAGGAAGAACTTTGAGATTAGCATGAATCTTCAGTTTTGATGGATTATTATATTTATTTGAAAGAAAGTTCAAGAAGATCATTAAGGGTTCACTAATTAAGTAGAAAATTACGCAAAGAAAAGGTACTTTTGGTCTACAATATTCAATTAGAGGTCCTTCGAAAATCTCAACAGTTTGAAGATCCATCAGATCAAATCCTCAATAAGCCAATGAAAGGATACATGCTCGATTCTGCTAATGTGGTAACAAGTGGCATGATAGATGGAAACTCTTTACTAAATATACCTTGAAAAGTAAAGCAGTACCAGCTCCTGAAGCAGCCAGTATGCCAACAGCCATTACTGCATGAGTCCAGTGGAAATGAGAGAAATATCCCATTTTTTTCATGGTATTACTCTGTAAAGCTGACACAGGCTGCAGATTCTGCGATGCAGCCAACGTTTGAGTACTTGATGGAGATTTCACTTTCTCATCTATCATCAAGACATCAAAGCAGCAATGTCATAAAAGGAAAAACCAGAAGCATTATCATGTTCTCAAATTAGACAAAAGAAAATCAAAACACAACAGGAAAGGTTCTTTCTAAAGAACATTATGAATCACCTTCATTTGCAGCTACTGGCTGTGTGCTAGAAACATTTGGAGTGGGATCCTGTCATTGAGACATGTTTTTGATGTACATCTTTATTTTATCCTTACATGCTTCAATAATAATTAAGCCAAGATCAAAGGTCAAACATCAGAAAGTTGCCTACCGGAACTCGACGAAACGCTTCATCTATCTCCTCCTTCGTGAGCCCCTTCCTCTCAAGAAAAGAACGCCTATACATGACAGGAGATCCCCTAACTCTTGGATGTGAAAGAAACTTCATGGCATTTTGGACTTGATCCTCCCGAACTGGTTCTGAATTTACAAATACAGAAGTTGGAGAGTTCCCTCTTGTAGCCTCAGGCTTGGAATCCTGATTATCTTTAGCAGCTGGTTGTGAAGCGGCTGGTGCAAAATCACAAATATAGTTGGAGATTTGATATCTGAGTAATTCATTCAACTCAAAACATAATAGAGCAAATAAGAGCACTCTGCGAAGATGAAATAGTAAAGCATGGGCCAAGGTGGAGCACAACGATTAAATCTCCTTCCTTTTCCAAACCAAAATAGTCTCTCCCTCTTTGCACTCCATATATCAATAAATGGGTATGTAGAAAATATAATCCACTAAAGCTTGACATAATGAAATAAAGAATTTAACAAAAGTCAACTTATATTAAACTAACAAAAGTAGATGCAAAAGGATGCTTTGCGACTCAGTTTCTCAACCACAAGATGGATGGATATTATTTTGGTAGAACAGGTATCCAAGCTCACATCAAGACTTGACTTTTCCTTCTAAATGCAAGGCAGACTCAGAAAGAGAAGGCGCTAGGAAATGAGAATTTCAAAAGAAACCCCAGACCTCAGCTTTTCCTACTTTTTAGCTTGAACCATTCTTCAGATATTACCGAGATTGTACTACTATATGCATTATAAGAAGTAGTTACTCCCATTGCAAAGGTTCTGCACATGATAATAAGATAATTAACATGTGCTTAGAACTCCTTGATGTCTTCAAGGTTCACACGACCTAGTTGCAGTCACCAAGAGGTACATCTCCGTCCAATCTTAGAAATTCAATATTTCTCCAAAGTAAGATAATATCTCCATTTTCCGGAACAAAAAAGGAAAAATATTGTCCGTCAAAGAAGCTTCATACATCATAAATGGATATGCAGAAATTGAAATTCAGCCAGTAGTATCCACTATTTACTCCCCTGATGATGTATATGATAAACTAAGTGGATTCCTTGTGGAGTGAAGATCTTCTTCTCTATGAAGACGGTTGCAGCAAATGACTCTGTTGGGTATTGAGTGAGTTCTCTTGTAGCGACTGTTGCACCCTCCTTTTCAATAATTTAGTAGGAGCACCATTAGTTTAATCTTGTTGCTCACAGATTTTGTCAACAGTGTCAGGAACTGCTGGAATAGAGTACAGCTACGATTGCTTGAAACATCAGACCACTAATAAAATTATTTAGTATCTTGATATGCGAAACATCAAACTACTCTATTCATTTGGATAATTAAGTTGGCACCCCTTCACTAGTTGCTACAGAAACTGTTCAAGAAACCAAAATGAATAAGAGCTTACAGTGTTAGCACCAAAGGTGTAACCTAGTGGCTAGTGGTCAATGAAGTAGGGGGAGTACCATGAGGACTCAGGTTCAAATTTCCGCAGAGGCAAAAAATCACGTGATTTTCTCATTTGCCTACGCCTTAGTGGGCAGAGTTACCTGGTAGGTGCAATAGTACAAGCTGGTGCACTAGTACAAGCTGGCTCGGACACCATAGTCATAAAAAAAAAATACTAATTGATAGTCTGATATACAGTGTCTGCCGGGCAACATAAGTATTTAGTTTTGGATTCAGAAAGAAGCGCATCAACGTTAAACCAATATGCAACATCAAGTTACTAAAGACGTGACTGCTTCGGAAACCAAAAGTAGCAGCTCCTCCTCCCCAACCACCCCGGCCCCCAAATGAAACAGAATTTTTTTTTATAAGGAACTTGTTGGTTGTAACAGCGCAACAGAAGCTTAAATGGTAAAAGGACAGTAAAGTTGAAGAAGATCAAATTCAAAAGATGATTCAAAGGACTGAAGATGAAATAGCATCAATCAAATAGAAGGTTCAAGCTCACTCAAATATACGAGAAATCAATCAAAATTGAGATAGACGACGGAAAAAAAAGGTACCCGGATTTTGGGAATTGTCGTTGGTCGAGTTGGGAGGAGAATCTGATTCAGTCGCCATACTCACCAACTCCTGTGAACTGAATTTTCAGGAAAATAAAGGTTAAAAACCAATAGATTTGAAAAGGGAAAAAAAGGAACGAATGATCGTTTTCCAATTTGTGACAGTATTGAATTATTTATAGCTATACATACCGGAGAGTGAGATTAGTACGGCGCCGATGCCGACAATGATGAAAGGATGTCAGAACTTTTTCACTTTTAAGTGGTTTTTGTGCGCATATTCAAGAAATAACTCCTCGTACTAGACGTCCTGTTTGTTCTGATTGAAATTGAGAGGAATATTAACGAGTAAAAAGACTAAAAATAATTTGTTTTACTTTTATTTTTCACTATACTAAAAATATTTTACGTGTTCATTATTTTATCCTATTTTATCCTTAGCATTAACTTCTCATTTCTCAAATTATTTTTTAAGATTTTTAAAAATATTATCATTATTATGAGTAAAATTATAAAATATATACTTTATTTATTTATTCTCAAATAGAGTACAAAATAATAGAAAATAGACAAGTAAAAAGTGTACCAAGGGAGTAATAATATGAGTCAATCTTCTCCTTGTTTTTCTCTTTTACTTTTGCTCCCTTTTCTCTTTTCCCTTTTTCTTCTCTTTTGTCTCCTGTTTGCCTTTGCCAGTCTACATTTTAATTTAAGTCCTGGTTTGGTCAAAAACGGAAAATATGCGACCTTATTCCTTACAAATTTTTCTCTTCATTAAAAACCATATGCTGAAAAAAAAAATTATGCCATTATAGAAAGTAGTTGAAATAAAGTAGTATATGTTATAAAATAAAAGCAACTTAGTAAAACATGAACAAGACATGTTATATGAAATAAAAGCAATTTAGTAAAACATGAATAAGAAATGGAGATAGAGAGAAGGAAGAGATTTTCTTCTTCAATTGTGTGTATTTTATTATCTATTACAAGGCCTTTATATAGGCATGAAAAGTGAAGAAAAATATGTCATTGAATATGTCATTAAGCATTTGAGAAGATCATGGAGGAAGAGTAGACATCTACCATAATTTAATTTTTCTTATAACACTCTCCCTTGGATGTCCATAGATAATGTGCCTCGTTAAAACTTTATTAGAAAAAAACCCTATGGGAAAAAAAATCTAGTGAAGAAAAAAGATTACACATGTTTAGAAATACGCCTTTTGGTTGCCTCGTTAAAAACCTTGCAAGGAAAACCCAGTGGGACAAAACCTTGCAAGGGAAAAAGAGTACAACGCGTATTAACTCCCCCTGATGAGAGCATCAATTCACATCCTTGAGCCTTCGCATCCCAATCTTGTACACTAGTTTCTTGCAAGTTGACGTCGGTAGAGATTTGGTGAACAGATCAGCCATATTATCACTTGAACGGATCTGTTGCACATTGATATCACCATTCTTTTGAAGATCATGTGTGAAGAATAACTTTGGTGAAATTTGCTTTGTCCTATCTCCTTTATGAATCTTCCCTTCAATTGGGCTATGCATACTGCATTATCTTCATACAAAATTGTGGGTAGTTTGTCACACTTCAAACCACATTTGTCTCGAATAAGATGCATTATAGACCTCAACCATACTCATTCTCGACTTGCTTCATAAATAGCAATTATCTCAGCATGATTAAATGAAGTAGCCACGATTGATTGCTTAGTTGATTGCCAAGATATGGCAGTGTCTCCATATATAAACACATAGCCTGTTTGAGATCGAGCCTTGTGTGGGTCATATAAATACCCAGCATCGGCATAACCAACAAGATCGGGACTGCAATCATTTCCATAAAATAATCTCATATCATAGTCTCTTTTAGATACCGCAATATGTGTTTGATTCCATTCCAATGTCTCCTTGTAGGAGTATAGCTATATCTTGTTAAGACATTAACTGAAAAAGTTATGTCAGGCCTTGTAATGTTAGAAAGATATATTAGTGCACCAATTGAACTAAGATATGGTACTTCGGGACCAAGAAGCTCTTCATTATTTTCATGAGATTGGAATGGATGTGCTTTATCCATATATAATCACTTTAAAATCATTTTAGTGTATGCTGGTTGATAGATAAAAATTCCATCTTTCTTCATATACTCAATTTGTAGACCAAGACAAAATTTTGTCTTTCCAAGATCTTTCATTTTAAATTCTTTCTTTAATTAGTCTACTGCTTTTGGAAGCTCCCTAGGAGTTCCAATGATATTTAAATCATCAACATACACGGTGATTATAACAAATTTAGATCCAGATCTTTTTATAAAGACACAAGGACAAATTGAATCATTCTTGTACCCTTCTTTCAACAGGTACTCACTCAGGCGATTATACCACATGCGCCCTGATTGTTTCAATCCGTATAAGGATTTTTGAAGCTTTATTTAATAAATTTCTTGGAAACCTTAATATGCTTAGGAACAATTCAATCCTTCAATGATTTCCATTATACGCATATCACGTTTTTCTTGTATTGCCATATTAAAACCTGAAATGGCGACATCCACCACAGGAGAACATGTCTCTATATAATCAATGCCAGGATATTTATAAATTTTCTTGTGACACAAGTCGTCTTTATGTTTATTAACTTGACCTTTATTTTCGCACAAGAACACATTTATACCTCCACTAGCTTTATACTTTCAGATGTTGGGACTATCCGTCCAACTTCATATTTTTCAGGTGAAATTAATTTTCATTGCGTATTTTTCATTTGGCCAATGTTTGGATAATTAAGTTGGCACCCCTTCACTAGTTGCTACAGAAACTGTTCAAGAAACCAAAATGAATAAGAGCTTACAGTGTTAGCACCAAAGGTGTAACCTAGTGGCTAGTGGTCAATGAAGTAGGGGGAGTACCATGAGGACTCAGGTTCAAATCTCCGCAGAGGCAAAAAATCACGTGATTTTTTCTCATTTGCCTACGCCTTAGTGGGCAGAGTTACCTGGTAGGTACTGGTAGGAGATAGTAGGTACCTGGTGCAATAGCCGAGGTAAGCACAAGCTGGCTCGGACCCCATAGTCATAAAAAAATACTAATGGATAGTCTGATATACAGTGTCTGTCGGGCAACATAAGTATTTAGTTTTGGATTCAGAAAGAAGTGCATCAACGTTAAACCAATATGCAACATCAAGTTACTAAAGACGTGACTGCTTCGGAAACCAAAAGTAGCAGCTCCTCCTCCCCAACCACCCCGGCCCCCAAATGAAACAGAAGTTTTTTTTTTATAAGGAACTTGTTGGTTGTAACAGCGCAACAGAAGCTTAAATGGTAAAAGGACAGTAAAGTTGAAGAAGATCAAATTCAAAAGATGATTCAAAGGACTGAAGATAAATTAGCAGCAATCAAATAGAAGGTTCAAGCCCACTCAAATATACGAGAAATCAATCAAAATTGAGATAGACGACGGAAAAAAAGGTACCCGGATTTTGGGAATTGTCGTTGGTCGAGTTGGGAGGAGAATCTGATTCAGTCGCCATACTTACCAACTCCTGTGAACTGAATTTTCAGGAAAATAAAGGTTAAAAACCCATAGATTTGAAAAGGGAAAAAAAAGGAACCAATGATCGTTTTCCAATTTGTGACAGTATTGAATTATTTATAGCTATACATACCGGAGGTGAGATTAGTAAGGCGCCGATGCCGACAATGATGAAAGGATGTCAGAACTTTTTCACTTTTAAGTGGTTTTTTGTGCGCATATTCAAGAAATAACTCCTCGTACTAGACGTCCTGTTTGGTCTGATTGAAATTGATAGGAATATTAATGAGTAAAAAGACTAAAAAGAATTATTTTACTCTATTCCTTTATTTTTACTTGTCCATCGTACTAAAAATATATTTTTATTTATTCATCCTTCTAAATCAAGACAAAAAATAATATTCTTTTTATATTTTACCATTATCATTATTCAAATTATTTTTTAAGATTTTTAAAAATATTATCATTATTATAGATAAAATTATAAAATATATATTTTATTTATTTATTCTCAAATAGAGTACAAAATTGAAAAAATAGACAACTAAAAGTGTACCAAGCGAGTAATAATATGAGTCAATCTTCTCCTTGTTTTTCTTTTTTACTTTTGCCCCCTTTTCTCTTTTCCCTTTTTCTTCTCTTTTTTCTCCTGTTTGCCTTTGCCAGTCTACATTTTAATTTAAGTCCTGGTTTGGTCAAAAACGGAAAATATGCGACCTTATTACTTACAAATTTTTCTCTTCATTAAAAACCATATGCTGAAAAAAAAAAAACTTATGCCATTATAGAAAGTAGTTGAAATAAAGTAGTATATAATTTCTAGGTCCATATTTTCAGAAAGAAATTCTACTATATATTAATATAAATGGCCAAGGACCAAGGTGTACGAACAGGGGTACTCTTGGAATTGTTAATTTCTTTAGGGATAAATTGGTACTACTCCATTTCGAAACACCTTTTCTCTCCCTGTACTCTCAAACTTTCTATTTTCAGAAGCTCTCGCTCAATCTCTCTATTTTCATAAGATAAATCTGGGTTTGCATACTTGCTCATCCTAAGGTACATCCTTTTCTCTTGACAATATCTCTTTTTATGTTTTCAGAAAATATTTTTTCTAAGTTTACATAGTTGTTAATTTAAGCTACTTTTTTCTTCTTTTTCTGGGTTAAAATTTGAGTATTGCTCTTTGTTTTGGTGAGTTTTTTCCTCTTCTTTTGGTGTGGGTCTGTTAATTTTTTAATATTTCTTTTGGGTAGTTTTTTATTGAATTTTCTACATGCATTTCAGTAATTTGGTTTGATTTACTCCTGCATGTTTGGAAATAGACATTTAAAAATTTATTTCAGTAATGCATTTGGTTGAAATTCTGAATTATTCTGTCCGAATTGACTCAAGATTATTTGCTATGGACAAGTCGACATATCTATAGTGCAAGTAGTAGATAGAGGCCGTTGCACAGCAGTCATTCTGATGGGTTAAACTCCCTTTGTTCAATCAACCAATCTATTCTTCGTTTCAATTCATTTTAGTATTTTTACTGTGTGTTTGGCCCCTTTTAAGCAAAGATATTCTTTTTGTTTGTGTTTGTGTTTTTGTTTTCAAATTTGTAAGAAAGATTTTCTTTTTCTAATGCAAAGGGGAAAAATGGTTTTTTGCTAGATGGGATTATTGAACATTTATATTTTAGGTAGAATAGACAGAGGGTAATAGTGTGAAATTCAAGAAATTGATTGATTGATGTGGGTCTATTCAACAAAAATAGGGGTTTGTTTATCAGGAAAAAAAAAACCTCTACTTGGAGTAAAGAAAAATGTTTACCTTAATTGAAATTTCTTTCGTTTTTTGAAGTATACAAGTTTGATCATAGCATAGGTATGGGATGTGAAAAGATGCTAACTTATTTGGTAGTGCTTCTCTACTTTCGGACTCAATTCTACTGCAAAAGATTGGTTTGTGGTATAGTATTAGAATGTGCCATATCAAATTGCTTTATAACTACATATGACAAATTCTGTCTTGAATTACTTCTACTTTTACTGGACAACATTGGTGAACAATATGGGTGCGTTATTTTGTGTGTTTTTTGGTTGCATATTTCTATTGCAGTTTGCTAATATTAGTCTGACTTTGTGTAAACACGAAAAAAGTAAATATAATGTATAGTTTTTTCAGAATTATATATATTACTCTAACGAAGTAATAAACTATTTGGAACAGAAATGCTCACAAACGAAGATATTGTGTTGCGTAGACTACAAAAGACTAAGGAACAACGACTCGCTGATAGAAATTCGCGACGTCGCACTAGATATGCGCAAATGACACCTGAGAGAAAACAATCATTTTTATTGCAACTGCAAGCTAAAAGAGCTGGAGCAAAAAGGCGGCGACTTTCTCATCTTTCAAGTAATGCACCATTTTCGGCGGAAATTGATACTCGACCTCAAAAACAAAGTGCTCTTCCAATTGTTGATCCTTCATTAGCTTCTGAAGAAGGTTAGAAAAGTGTATTGTTGTCTTACTTCTCAGAGACATCTTTGTAGGAAAAACACTTATATACACATAATGTTGTATGTGTATATATAGGTATTCTTCGGTGCATAAAAATCTACAATCATTAAAGTTACTTTTTCTTTCATTTATTAGGTCATGATTCTGCAGCTACAAATATACCAATTACTGTCGACGAAGAAAATAATATGAATGATTGCAGCTCCATCCTTGAAGTGCGCAAGTCCAAAAATAATTCTTCAAATATTCCAACTATAACTATTCCAGTGTCAGGATCAGGATCAGGATCAGCATCAGGTGCATTTGGAAAAGTTTCAACTCCAGCAGTTACTGCAGATAGAAGTATGTATCTTTCTGCGAAGCCAATAATCTCTTAGTCTCATATTACTGTCTCTTTCTTTTATTAGTTTGAGCTTAATTGGACCTTATAATTTGATACAAGCTCAACCTTGATGATTTTTTATGAATTCAAGAAGGAAAAAGAATTTGAAAATTTACTTTTTTTCTCCAGATTAGTTAGCCACATCTTCTACTTTTAATTTAGTGTTTTCCTTAAAACATAAAATTGGGTTCCTGATATTGAATATTTGATGGAAGATCAAAAATAAAATAAAAAATATTAGATGGAAGACAGCCACTACCAATCAAAGTAGTAGTTTGTTCTAGCTTCCTAAGCTGTCGAGTTGACAACTCCCACGTTCATATTCAAATGTGGTAATCAATCGGGTTTTTTTTAAATAAATATTTTGAGACCTGAACTGTTTAGTGGAGCTAGGTTAACTTACAATGCTATTTTCGTATATCCTGTGAGTTTCCTTTAGCCCTGTTAGTAGCATGGTTAATCTTGTCATCATTTGCAGGCGCCTCCTCGACTGCGGCAGTCCAACCATTTGTTGGGACCAATATTCAACTGCCTAATGGAATGCTAGATGGTGAACTCAATTCCATCACTACGCCTGAGCGGAGTCCTGCACTGCCATTTAAGAAGAACTCCAATCTTTGGAAAGTATTTGAATCTATGAATGAATTCGCCAAACTTCCACAAAGTCCACACTTTTCACCCTTGGCACAGTATGAGGAGGAGAAACGGGAAGAAGCAGCTTTACAGCAGATGATAAAGTATGTTCTTATCGTTGAGAAGATACTAGAGTTAGCAATTGCTGAACTTAGTAATTCAACTCTCATTAATGACATGCTTGCATCTTTCAAGGACTTGGAGGAGTATGGATTTGATGTAATGCCTATTAAACGTCATTTGAATGATTTGTTGTTGGAGAACGAGAAGAAAGCTCAGCTTCGACGCAAGTTGGAAGAAGTAGAGGTCAGAATCAGAAATCACAATCTCAAGAAAGTGAAAACTGAAAATGAGATTGACAAGATTGGTATGAAGTTAAAGGATTTAGAGAAAGAACTTATGTCAGCCAAGAACGTGAAAGAGGCGAAGGATCACGATATCATGGTATTGAGCTCGGAAAGGGGTGCCATTTGTGATGATATTCGTCATCTCCAGCTTGATAACGAAAGGATATTAGCTTCAATGAAGCAAACCTAGTATTTGTTTATAAATGGACAAATACAATTTCAGTTTTTGTAAATACTGAACTTCAATGTAAATATTTAGGGTGAAAATCATTTTCCCCCTCCAACTTTGATTTAAAAATCAAACACCTTCCCCAAAATGGTTCAAGCAACAACTAGCATGATCTGCTATAAGTACGTCCGTAGCTAGAAGTAAGGAGATAAAAAGTCGAAGAAAATTCAACTTAACTGAGAAGAGATTGACCTATCAAAGTCTATAGAAACAGATATGGGACATGGCTAAAATAAAAAATATAAATTACCTAATCCAAAAGCACATTTATCCTAATCTTCAAAGGACTAATTTAAACCAAATTCTATCGCCAAAGAGTTAGTTTGGACAATTGTTTTATCTAGAACTAAGTCATTGTATAACATATTGAGGGATAAGCACCGGGCCCTTTAACCAAAATGACTTATTTCATCATTATTATTGACGACATTAGATCTAATTCTCTTTCAATTATTTTTGGATGTTCAGGAAGGCAACTCTTTATCTGAAACATCCTTCTAATGGTATGACTTACGACATCCAAGATTGGGCGTCCCAGTGCACAAAGTATCCCGCATTTCGCAGGGTCCGAGGATTAGGGGTTTGATGTAAACAGTCTACCCTAATACAAGCATTAGTGGTTGCTTTCACGACTCCCGGACAGCAAAGGTTTTGTTATTTATTGTTGATCTTGAAGAATGAACCACTAGAAGAAAAGGGCATTAGCGTTTTTCCTACAAAGTAGATAAAAGATGAGTTCACCACTACAATAAATCTGAAATATCTATCCCTCAATGATTGAAAGCTTGGCTAAAGAAGATAAGTTTTCTCTAAGCATCGAGAGAGAAATTTACCATTGAAAATGATGTCCCTACAAATCTAAACTGAGTGTAGAGACAGAAGACCTAAATAAATGACCCACCATCTAATATATGTATTTGCTCTGAAGTAAAAGCAAAGGTATGGAATAGATGACCAATTCATGTAACATGATCATAAGATGTATGAGAACATGGAGCCACCCCACCATTTGCAGCTGGAATAGATGTGGACATGACTTTAGCTCTTTATTATCTTTGTTCGCCTCCTCCTCCGTTCTATTCTTTCTCTTCACCTAACATC